TGATTATCTTATATTATATGTCTAATATCCACTTATAAGTGAATATATATCATGTGTGTCTTTTTGCTTCTGGGATAGCTCACTCGGGATGATCTTTTCTAATTCCTACCATTTGCCTGCAAATTTCATGATTTTCTTATTTTTAATTGCTGAGTAGCATTCCATTGTATAAATGTACCACAATTTCTGTATCCATTCCTCAGTTGAGGGACATCTGGGTTGTTTCCAGATTCTGGCTATTACCAATAAAGCTGCTACAAACATAGTTGAGCAAATGTCGTTGTTGTATACTTGAGCATTTTTTGGATATATGCCTAGGAGTGCTATAGCTAGATCTTGAGGAAGCACTATTTCTAATTGTCTGAGAAAGCACCAGATTGATTTCTGAAGTGGTTGTACAAGTTTACATTCTCACCAGCAGTGGAGGAGGGTTCCCCTTTCTCCACATCCTCTCCAGTATGTATTGTCAGTTGAGTTTTTGATCGTAGCCATTCTGATGGGTGTAAGATGAAATCTCGGGGTCGTTTTGATTTGCATCTCCCTGATGACTAAGGATGTTGGACATTTCTTTAAGTGTTTCTCTACCATTCTATATTCCTCTACAGAGAGTTCTCTATTTAGCTCCGTACCCATTTTTTAATTGGATTGCTTGATTTGTTGCTTTTTAACTTCTTGAGTTCTTTATGTATTCTGGATATTAACCCTCTGTCAGATATAGGGTTGGTGAAGATCCTTTCCCACTCTATAGGCTGTTGTTTTGTTCTGCTGACAGTGTTCTTTGCTTTACAGAAGCTTTTCAGTTTCATGAGGTCCCATTTTTTGATTGTTGCTCTTAGAGCCTGTGCTGTTAGTGTTCTATTCAGGAAGTTGTCTCCTGTGCCAATAAGTTCAAGGTTCTTCCCTACTTTTTCTTCTAACAGTGCTGTGGGTTATTAATATTTATTATTGATTTATCTTTTAGTTAAATTGTGCTTATTCCTAAACCAGCTGTATACCCAAATCACCACACACAGACTGGGATTTATTTAATTAACCTAGAGCACCATGCTGGGCAATAGTTATTCCATCCTAAACCTCCAAGCCCACACAGTTTCCTACCATTTAGATTTCACCCATTATGTTTTTTAGTCATATCTCAGGTCAGGTTCATCCCTCCATGTGTTTCACAGTACTGTCCTGCTGATCTCTGCTCTTCTCTCCTGCTTCCTTCTCCTCCCATCTGGACCAGGATGTCCCACCCTATTCTCCCCATTGCACAGCACTGGCTGGTTGTTTTATTGATAACACAGAGAACAAATGGTGGCATATTTATGCAAACTTAAGGCAGGTGATACTTAGAATGCTTAGAATGGTTCGGAATGAAACCAGATAGTGGGGTAAAGAAATCAGCATTTGAATGAACAAAGATAAGTTGTATACATTCCACAAGAATATTATACCAACATAATGAATTCAGTGTGTCTGGTTTTATGTTGAGGTCTTTGATCCACTTGGACTTTAGTTTTGTGCAGGGTGATAAATATGGATCTATTTGCATTTTTCTACATGTAGACATCCAGTTAGACCAGCACCATTTGTTGAAGATGCTGTCTTTCTTCCATCATATGGTTTTGGCTCCTTCATCAAAAATGAAGTATCTGTAGGTGTGTGGATTTATTTCTAGGTCTTCTATTTGATTCCATTGTTCCACCAGTCTGTTTCTATGCCAGTACTATGAAGTTTATATTACTATTGTTCTATAGTAGAGCTTGAGATCAGGATGGAGATACCTCCAGACATACAGGATCGCTTGGCAATTCTGGTTTTTTTTGTTTTTCCATATGAAGTTGAGAATTGTTCTTTCAAAATCTGTAAAGAATTGTGTTGGCATTTTGATGGGAATTGCATTGAATCTGTAGATTGCTTTTGGCAGGATGGCCATTTTCACTATGTTAATCCTACCAATCCATGAGCATGGGAGATCTTTCCATCTTCTGACATCTTCAATTTCTTTCTTCGGAGACTTGAAGTTTATTTTCAAACAGGTCTTTCATCTTAGTCTCTTAAGTGACCATTTATTGATCATCTGTGTCTGTGACAACCTTGTGACTAGTAGTAAATCCTTTTGGATTAAATAAACAGATCTATCTTCCATGAGCCCCAAAGCTAGAACATCATCTGAGGCCTAAAGCTTTCCCCTGAATTTAGCCCACCTGACTGATGGATATCCACCATTGCATTTTAAAAGTATTTTGATTTGTACTTTCTTTGTTCTGTTTCATAACAACTTGACAAAACTTCTACTGTATTGGAACATAGAATTTGGGGTAGCTTATATCTATATTCCCAGGCTATGCTAACACAAATTAATACGTGGCTGTAGAATAAACTCTTATTTCTCTTGATGTGAAATGTGTGTTTTTTACATTGACTCAGTAACAATGGCATGAACTATAGAAATCTGCTCCCCATCTGATAAATGTGCCAATCTTTTTAGCTGGTGTTCAGAATACTGCAGAGGACTCCTGACTGCCCCTGCTTTTTTAGTGTCTCTGAGATTATTTCTAAGATCTTGAGCAGCGATGTCCATGGACAAGTATTTCCAACATTCTCTTTATGTGCGTTACATCAAAATCAGGATCCAACTTGGTGATACATTCTAAGCTCAGGAAAGGGAGCTTGCATTCACTCTCCCACCAGCTGTGGCTTCAGTTTCAAAGGAAAATGTTAAGCAAATTCTTGATGTCTGGCATTGGGTTTGCATGAACTAAGAACATTTCTCCAGGAAGTGGATTTTTTTCTGCTTGCCCTGTCTTAACTGTCAGCAGTTGGAGGCTACTTGATTATTTACATATACAAAAACTTAAACACACCTTTTCTTTTCCAAATATCTTTTAAGTAAATATTAACCACAGTTCCTTTGGCAAAATCTTTGACCTAGAAAATTCTGAATGTGAAAAGGATGGTATCTGAGCTTTAGGTTATCTGGATGTCTGGTTTTGTTTTTCTTAAGCTTTACAACATACAAAGACTACCTTTGTGGGTAAACTGTCCCACACCCTCTTGGTGGATGAGCGAGCATGCATCTCTAAATCAGGTGTGTGTAAATATCCTAGAACAACTGGTTACCAGCTTATGGCACCTTGGAAAACAGTGTCATCTCAATCCCCTTGATTTTCCTGAAGGTGCCAGAACGCGACACTAAACCTAAACTGACCCACCCGAGTGACGAACTCTACTCAAAAGACAGAAGAATTAACACCAAAGAACATTCAAAGAGAAGGGGGCAGGGAAGGAGAAGAATTAACCCCAACTGCTTGTTCAATAGTCCGTCCACTTGTTGGTTGATGTTCTAGCAACCTGGCCACTGTGTTCACACTACAAAACTCTCCTGAACATCAGCCGGCACAGAGTTCCACTCTTGAAGTCAACATCTGTGTCTTAGAAAAGACATTTAGAAAATCTCTAATGCTTCTCTAGCCGTATCTGTAAAATGCGTTGAGATAATTTTCCTTGTATTGCTGCTCTTGGGATCATGTGATAATGTAGGAACTCCCAGCAAAGTCTTAGAAGCACAATGGATATCCACTAGCTTCATGCAAATTTGTGCTTCATAAATAAACCACTAAACTATTAAGTTTCAAATGACTTCTGATATCCTACCATGTGCTTCCATTCTTGGATAAACATAGCAATCCAGTGAGTCTTTCAAAGGTGTTGGACCCAGTTGACTCACGGCTACCATCGCAAACCAAAGTGGGTGGGGGAGGGAGACAACCATTCTCTGGAAGAGGTGCCTGATTAGACCAGGTGACTTCTACTTGACTCTCCACGCCTGCACTATTAAAATTAAACATAGACAACAAAAGTAATTATTGTTTCTTTCATAACCCTAGAGACCTGTGCATTGCGTGCTTATGCATAGGCGTTGACAACCTATGTTTAATTAAGTATATGCTGGTATATACTGTGACCCACCGTAGTTGGTAGAAGACTTGAAATGCAATAAAAATCAAATGCATGGTCTTGTTCCCGAGCTCATGACATTAAACAAAGGACAATGGAGATGTCTTAAGTGACTTTTTAGCCTGTTTGCCAAAACAACCATTCTTTAGACTAACTCAAGTGTATGCTCTCTCCAAGCCTCCTCTGAGTCCACAGTCAGAATGACCCTTTCTCTCCTAGCACTAACCACATGGCTGACATGCATACCTGTGTCCCCTTCTCCCCCAGTGTGTTGTAAGTTTCTCTTCATGGATGGCACTTGTAGCTATAATTCATTGAGCTGTGGCCTACATACGTGGCTCCAAAATAAGCCATGCACTTATTGTTTTACTTATTCACCTCAGTGTTTGAAGTGACACTCTAATTCATCCTCGTCCTACAGAGAAGGAAACTGTGGCAAAGAGCAGTTAGATATATCCAAGTTCTCTGAGCTAGAAGGAACAGGGCATGTTATAACCACTATCTCTTGGCAGGAGTGGAGTCCTTCCCTTACTCATGACTGCCACCCCCAGGCCAGCTCCACGCCCACCCAGGCTCTCAGGCAACACTGACCAGCAGTGTGAGCAACAGAAATACCAGGCCTCAGCACCTTTGTGGCTGAAGGTGCTTCTCTGCTTTGAAGAACAGCGACCCAAACCTTCCTTCCCTGAAACTCTCTGTCTGTCTACTCCATCTGTCCTGCCTCCCCCCTCTCCTCCTTACTATGCACCCTGTGGACTTTAAGTTGCAGCTTTATGTAGGCAAAGGAAAACAGTGTTCTAACCTGACTGAGCACAGTAGAGAAAGGGGGAAAGTGGACTGAGAGAGGAGAGATAAAGAGAAAGGAAGCAGCGTTAAATCTAATGAAAACAAAATGTGCCCCAAAACACATCCCCAGAGCAATATTTCCTTGAGAGGCCAGTGCCCTCTGTTTTAACCTAACTCCCAGTAAGAATAAACTGATGGGTGTGTCTTAAAGGGCCGGATCACATGTGGAATCAGCTGACACCCCAGCAAACAAAATTTGTGTGCAACTTTGGCCCAGTGCATTGGAGGGGGGAAGAAGCCTACGGGACCCATCAATTTCCTGCCTACCCTGCAGTGAGGACAGACAGCATGAGCACAGCTGGAAAAGTAAGAACAAGATCTCACGGTGGGAAATGTGTTCTCCCTAATATGGACAAAAGATGCAGGTTTCTAATTTAGAAATAACATGCACTGAAGGGCAACATGCACCATGCTCTGTAGGACAGGGCAGACACTGGGTTACAGTGCAGCTAGACCTGCTACTAAGTGTCTTTAACCAGAGTGTAGAGAAGCTAGGTCTGTGAACCTCCTTATTGCCACGTTAACATTGCAGGACAGGGGATCTAGTCCAAGTCAAGGGTGACTACTTTGTAAAGAGAAAGTTTTCAAAAGGTCTTTTATCGAAAGTCTGTATTTACATTAAGAAACCAATAATGTGTTATTCTTTGTAATCATATTTCTTTTTTTTATGAACACAGAAAAGTTAAATACGACAAGTGTTTCATAACAGAAATTTGATTCGGGGAACTTAGTAGAACGGTCCCTGTAACCTTTAACCTTTAACGGTCCCTGTAACTCTTTGGTTTATGTAAAACTTCTGACAAGGAGTGGATTGATTTCAACTCATTAGAATCATTCACAGTAAGATTACATTACTGTGTAAATTGTGATTTGAAAGGATCCATCTCTGCACTACTCACAAAATTTCTGCAAAACTTCTATAAGCAGTCTCTTCTCTGCTAAAAAAAAATTGTTCAGATTTTACAGAAAATTAATTCTAATAACAACTGACTCACTTGTTAATGCTAAGGATGCAGACATTATAATACAAAGTTTCCCACAACTTGTTCTATCTGTTTACTGTACCACACAGTGACTGCCAGCAGTATAATTAATTGATTCATGCTATCTACTTGCTTAATTCTAAAAGCCCATGCTTCTGTTGGCTCAGGGGCGATTTTAGGAGTGGGTCAAAAGTCCAACAGCTCAATCCAACAGTGAGAACTGGGTGTTGGAAGTTCAGAGGCTTCTGCATACACTGTGTGATACATTCGATGCTGAAATGATGGGTTGAGAATCATGTAAGGGGCTAGTTGCCAGCATTTTTACTTCCATTTCACTTTATTTTCTTTCTTTCATTATATTTACTATGGCATATTATATTTAAAGAAAAATAGTTAAGAAAAAAGAGTGACTGAAAAAGTTGAAAGAAATAGTGAGTTCATACAGCAAGAGTATAAACCAACCGTATCAATCAAACAAGAATTGAGGGAACTGGGAATCCAGGTTTTTAGGTACAGGGTCTGTAAGAGTGCTGTGCTCTTTGGTTTATGTTTATACTGCCTAGAAAAGCAAAAATAATAATGTAGCCAGGTATGGTAGAACATCCCTGAAATCCTAGGGCTAGAAAGGCCCAGCAGAAAGGTCCCTAACTCAAGGCCAGCCTGGGCTGCTTATGGAATATTTTCTCCAAAATCCAAAGTCTGGGGGTTAACTCTGGGACAGAGTACTTGCCTAGAATGCGCAACGTTCTGGGTTCTGCCTCCAGCACTTCAAAAATATGTTAGCAGTTGTAACTTAGCATTAAACATATACCCAATGATTGCAATTAAACAACCTTTTTGAGAACAGTACAGGTGACCATCAAGAAAAAAAAAAAACATAGTGAAACTTTGTAAGCGCATGCGCTACTTTATGGGGGTGTACTACATTTAGTTACATTTTCCTGACCTTGGGCTATCATGTCCCAAGGTTTTAAAAGGTATTTTTAACTCTTTGTAAATCAGAAGTGTCTGCTTCTGTGTAACACTTACTGGGGGTTGGGGTGGGGGCAAAAGGCAGAGACAGATGCCACATGTATAAAATGGAGAGGACACAACTGCAGTGATCTGGTGGGAGCTGAATTAGCCCTTCACCTTCCAGGTGATCAAGTGCAAAGCTGCAGTGCTATGGGAGCCCCACAAGCCCTTCTCCATCGAGGACATCGAGGTTGCACCCCCCAAGGCGCATGAAGTTCGCATTAAGGTGATACCCCTTCGCAGTTTCTGAAAAGTTAGGTTTGGAAAACTCAGAAAATACTCCACAGCTGCTTCCAGAAATACACTAACATGCTTTAATATGCCGATCCTGACAATGCATTCATTTGTTTCTAAGGCAAGCTATCAATATCAATTGCCAAAAGTTGGACGTGACTGAAAAGTATGTTTAACATAATCCCAGAATTGTTTTTAGCCATGTATTTGTTTATGAAATGATTACACGTCTTGATTCCAAAACCAATTAATACTAAGTAATTTCTAGAGGTTAATTTCCTATTTCTATTTCCATAATGTTTGGAATTTCGAAGCAGTAGTGATGGTTAGCAAGCTCCTCAGAAGCAGGGTTTGAGGAGAAGAGGCGTGTGAAAGCCCCATACTCACGAACTTGGCTGATTAAACTTTATCTCCGATCTCTAGATGGTGGCCACAGGAGTCTGCCGCTCTGACGATCACGTGATTAGTGGATGCCTGGTCACACCTCTTCCTGCAGTTCTAGGCCACGAGGGAGCTGGGATTGTGGAGAGCATCGGAGAAGGGGTGACTTCTGTAAAACCAGGTACAGAACCCCGGGCTGAGCTTAGAGAATCAAGTGCGTGCCTCGCTTCCAGGATCTCGGCGGCTGAACCACACTGTCAACCTGATGGCTTCCTCTTCTCCTATACGCGCTTCCTTTTGAATATAAAAAAATAAGATACGATAAGAGGAAACGCTATAGGAAAAGCATGGGCAAAGGCCTCCAATCGCAAAGACCTTTCTTTAATATCTTTAATTGTGGCTGAAAGCGGTAGGTTGCACAATGCTTATCACTTTGCTCATGTTTTTAGCTTTTTATGTTTTCAGAGGTCAAGGGCAAGTGAAAATAGATTTTCCACAGTGTCACCCCACGTCAATTTTAGCCATAGAACATAATGCCCCAAGCCTTTTTTTTTTTCAATCCAAAAACATAGGTACAATTTAAAACCGAAAAGTATGTTCATCTCCAAAATGATAGCTTTAACTAATTGAGTCAGACTTCTCACCTAAACAGCTGAACTGTAAGAAGAGAATAAGAAAAGACCTAGTCTGGTCTGAGTTAAGCTTTTATTGCTTTCTTTAGCCGGAAAAACAACTAGCGGTAAAATGACACCTTTACCTCTCAGATTGCTTTTTCTATAGCAGAAAAATGGATAATTCATAAATAATTTTCTAAAAAAAAAAAAAAACAGAAAAATCACTTTTTATTTCCTAGAGAAGATATCTAATTCATTCTTAAGAACTTAAATTTCCAGATCAATCTGTGACTTCTTTGCCACATTTTTATTATGCTTTTCAAAAAATAACTGAAATTATTTTTAAGCAATCATTTAATAAATGGAGAATCACAATCACTTTGAAAGGCCAAAAACTAGGCGGTGGGGTGTTGATTCAGTGGTTAAGGGCACACCCTGTTCTTCTGGAGCACTAAATTATGGAGTTACAACCACCTGTACCTCCAGCTCCCGGGGACACAACACCCTCTGCTGGCCTCCAAGGCCACACACACACAAGCGAAATGAACACAGAGCTGCTCTCATGTGCACATGAAAAGCAAAACAAATCTTTTTAAAAAGCAAAAAAAAAAGAGCTATCAAAATTCTCACTTCAATTTCATCCTATGATCAAGTTTAATTTGTTTTGTTTTGATTATAAAATATTTCTTATGTTGTGTCTTTTATTTTAGTATTATTGTAACTATTATACAAGATATCAGATATCTCCAGCATCTACTAGGAAGGTAGCAGCTTGCCTGCAAGCGAAGTATACATTTACACTCAGCAGTGAGAATATTCAAGGTTTGCTTAGGATAATACGTGCAAAGTTTCTACAAGAGAAACTGAGGCACACAACAAATGTTAACTGCTGATCCATGGGGAAATGGCTGGTTTTACCTTTTCTTTTTCTCTTTGGGAATCTTTAGGCTGGGAGGCGATGACCTAGGACATAGCATGGATGGGTCCTATCTCTTGGAGACTTTTTGAAGACACACGTCTCTACGTGTAAGCTTCAAGTTCTTGCTTTCGTAATTCCTGGATAGACATTTAACCTATTTTGTTGTTCTTCCTCCAGGCGATAAAGTCATTCCGCTCTTTTCTCCCCAGTGTGGAAAATGTAAGATCTGCAAGCACCCGGAAAGCAACCTTTGCCTGCAGAACGAGTAGGTTTCTTATTGTCTTCTCGCACAATTGGGTTGCACACTGGTTTTCTTCTGTCTCACGACCTTTGTATGCCTGTGTTTTGATGTGCAGCTTGAAAACGCCTCAGGGGACTTTGCGTGATGGCACCACCAGGTTCTCCTGCAGGGGGAAGCCCATCCATAACTTCATCAGCACCAGCACCTTCTCCCAGTACACGGTGGTAGATGAAATTGCAGTGGCAAGGATAGATGGGGCTTCACCCCTGGAGAAGGTCTGCCTCATCGGCTGTGGGTTCTCAACTGGTTACGGCTCTGCTGTCAAGGTTGCCAAGGTAGGATGGACTGTGGCCCATGGCACAAGCTTTGGTGCGTATTATTGATGCCAAAGGGGAAGCAATTTCTCACAAGCATCCGAGGGTGTCTTTTTTTTTTTTTTTTTTTTTTTGTAGAAGAAAAATAAGCCTCTCCAACCACAGTGAGAATTCACTCCACACGCTCATGAAGAGCAGAGAAAAGCTTCAAGATAGTATGCATCCAGTTCTGGGGAGGGTCCAAGGAGAAAATGGCCTCCCATAGAAGTTATCTGAAGCTTGCATGCTGTTGTCTGCAAATTTGTTATATTCCAGCTCCAAATACACTGAGCAATTAAATTGTTTTAAAGGGACAGGAACTAACAAGCTTAGCCATTTTGGACAAATGGGAGACTTTATAAAGTGGAGATGTCATTACTGTTATCTATACAGCAAGTCAAAGTGGGGAGATTTGTTCTGCAGAGATATTGTCACAAGTTGTTTTTGGTTTGGGGTTTGTTTTTGGTTTTGGTTTTGGTTTTGGTTTGGTTTTTGTGTGTGTGTGTGTGTGTGTGTGTGTGTTTGTTTGTTTTTGTAGACCAGTATCGTTACCTAGAGCCATCCTGCCTCCCCAGTGGAATTTTCCTGATAAGAAAATGAAGGCTTAATGGTAGACCAGAACTTGATGGCACTGTGACCTGGTGCAGCCTCTCTGAGCTGCCTGCCTGATGGAGGCATGTTCTTTAACAAGCAGAAGAACCTGTGGGCCATGGCTGTCTCCTTTTGTGACCGGGATTATGAACAAACTTTAAGAGAAACATTTCCCCAGCAAACCAAAACGTCAATGAAGTCTGAGGCACACCCTTTCCTATCGCTCCTGACAAGGCTGCTTAGGATGCTGCTCATCCTGGACTCACACTGGAGATAGGACACTGTTAGCTAAACTCCACTCTGTGGGACCTAACATTTCCTAAGCTAGTTTGTTAGTAGATCCTTAAAACATCAATCTCTTACTCTAGGTTTCTCCTAAATCATTTCCATAGATTGATGGTTTTGATTAAATTATTAATAGAAAAATAACACCAGAAGGAATTTGAAAGCATGCAGAAAATTCACCTGTTTTTTTTTTTTTTTTTTTTACAAGTGAAAAAGTTGCTGATACTGAATTAAGGAAAAGTAAATATTTTATGTTCAATAATTATATTCTGTATTTTCTATATGACTACCAAATTTTAGAGCTGGAACTGACGTAGTCACTCATTCTACAGCTGGAAAGAAACCCTACTCATTAGTCACGACGGGTTCTGTCAGGTTCTGACATAGCCAAAAAGCAAGCAGCTTGCCTCCTCCCAGCCTTACTTTGTATACCTGTAGCATGGCCACGACTGAGAGGATCCTAGAAGACACGAGAGAATTTATTATATTTGAGACCTCATCACTACAAGCAAAACTACACACACACACACACACACACACACACACACACACACACACACACACTATAAGTGATACATTTTAGGCAGTAACTTTAAACTTAATTTTCTTCCCAATAGTTGAAAAATCTAGTAGTGTATTTCACTTTATGAAAATTAAGATCCAGAATCATAAAGCTATTTGTCTACAGTTTTATTGCTGGCTAGTAGAGAGACTAGAACAACTATCAAATGATCTGCTGAGTCTGAAACTAGAATACATAATGGCCATCACTGCAATCACCATAACAGGCCTTGCATTTTTTTTAAGGCAAAGTAGAAAGTGGTGGTGCGCCCCATAGCATTTAAGAACATTTGATGGGTGAATAATAGGGGGACATATGGTGGGGTTTACTAAGAAGACCTGAAACAATCAAAGTAATGACCCTGCCTTATGGCTTTTGTGGCTTTTTGGTCCTGATTGCAGTTAAGTGCCTGTGCAGTTGCTTATCTGTCTCAAGCCTATTTGCAAGCCAAGGGTACTTGTGGTCATGGGTTTCAATCATTATTAAAATACAGACCCGCTTTTGCAGAAGTGTTTTTTCATTTGCTTTAAAAATTCAGGCTTAAAGTCCCACAAAGATTACATTGGTCACATGTCCTATTTTCTTAAAGTTTCCTGTCCACTTTCCTGTTGCTTTAAGCCAGGGACGACTTCTGAATGCTGCCCAGCCAACTTCTGACCTCAGCACCCTAACTGTGAAAGTTACTACTGAAAGTTAGTGAACCAAGAGAAGAGTTATTTATTGAAGGGCAGTTGGATTACTTTTTAGTCTCCTGGAATAACCTTGAGCAACTGTTTCACTAATTCAAATTGCTTCTGTGCATGTGTAAGATGCTGTTGTGAGGCTCTTAAAGATTAGAGTAATTTCTGTTTAGAATGGAAAGATCATCCAGTGTAGTTGGTCTCAACTTGAGTGTCCCAATGGATTAGGAATGAGGTTCTACCGGCAGAGACTCCAATTTAATTGTTAGAAGCTGCTACTGAATCCTGAGATTAAACAAAAAACTATGTCTAATATATAGCAAAGTGTGAAAACCAATGAGTACTGCTTTGGGCATCCATAAGCAGAAGAGGGTTTGCCAGCCAATGGAATGAAACCTGAGTAGCCATGATAGAGCTGTGCAGTGCAGAGCACTTCCTAGCAGTCACTGTTCTGTCCATTTCTGCATTTTCTGAAAATGTAGGTGACCCCAGGCTCCACTTGCGCCGTGTTTGGCCTGGGAGGTGTTGGCCTGTCCGTCATCATTGGCTGTAAAACAGCAGGAGCATCCAGGATCATCGCTGTGGACATCAACAAAGACAAGTTTGCGAAGGCCAAAGAGCTGGGTGCGACTGAGTGTGTCAACCCTCAGGACTACAGCAAACCCATCCATGAAGTGCTCCAGGAAATGACTGATGGAGGGGTGGACTTTTCGTTTGAAGTCATCGGCCATCTTGACACCATGGTATGTACTGTGGAATGCCTTGAGAGCTGTCCCACCATCTAGAATAATCTCTAGACAGCAAAATGAAAATCTCATGCAGAAAGCTTTTTTTTAAATGGTAATTTGCCATCTCCTTTTTCCCATTCAGATTGCTTGATTCACTGTTATGATAAACCTTTCATCTTGTCAGTTCTACAGACTTTTCTTAAGTAATAATCCTCCTTTAACGAAGGAAAGCTTTTAAATAAGACACTGTAAATTAACTTAATGATTCTCAGTAAAAAAATAAAATAAAATCATTTTATCAAGCAAATTTAAATACAAACCCTGGCCTTAAATGAATCAATGTGCTTTTCTCCCACATTCTTAATATTATTTAATAGTTAAAATTAAATATTCTGAAAAGTGTTTTTAAGTACCATCTTATGGCCAAAGGGAATAACGGAAAGCTTGGGGCCAAGTATTATTTTATTAACGTAAAACACGTAGAGAGGCGTGGCTGCTTTAACACATCTCTCATCTCAGAGCTAGCACAGTGCTGGGCAGCAGCCACCAGCACCCAGACCTACATGTTGGAGTAAATACCTTTTTAAAAAGAATTAATTCTTTTTTAAAAGAATTAACAGCCACACCCCCTAAATGTAAGAGATACATTTTGTAGGATTCTTTACGATTTACATGGGATAGTGCATATAAAATACTCATCACGAAGCCGCCTGCCATGTGGTAAGTGCTCATTTAAGGCCCACTGGGGAAAATGATAAGAAATACTATTGTCAAGCTGACAGTGCTTGTGAGTTTTGGAATGCACACGATTTCGTTTGAATAGTTGCAAATGTCATCCTTCGCTAAAGGATACTTCTCCGGTTACATCTCACCTAACCAAAGACCCCTAGAATTCTACTGAAAATATCCCCAGAGACCTGACAGATCACCATTATTGAGGTTCGCCAGAAAGTCTCAGCGGAGCTGGTGATAGAAAATGGGTGTGGTACCAAGAGTCATGTTTTTCTCGGCCTTGAACTGAGAGAAGATGCCATAGATGATAGATGATCCAAGAGAGATGGCACCTCCTCTTTGCATGGAGGGTCCTTCCAAGCTCAGGGTCCCGGCTTTTCCCAGCACCATAGCTCTGCTGTGATTCGCTTGAAGTTTTTCTCTGTTTGTTGATCTTAAGCTAGGTTGTCAGTTGATTTGGACATCCAAAAGTCTGACAGCCACATGTTCAGAGGACATCTGGCTTTCCAAATGTCAGACCAGTCATCTTCAAGGATTCTAAATCATTCTACTATAGAATGTGTTTAAAACAACAGCAGCAAAAACACCTATTGGAAGGCAAAAACTTCCTGGGTGTTTACATAATGTAACTATGAGAATAATGTAGAGCCAATGAATAACCACTTAAAACATGCCTGTTCTGGATATAAGCACTAGAGCAGGGACTTTTTAAAATCGAGTTTGACAAATGGACGAGAGACAATTTTTGATGATGTCATCATTACATCTTCTTCACCTTCAAAGCTTCTGGCTCAGAGTACTAGTTTTAAAATTGTACTTAACAGATAAATGAAAAGTGAGTTAACTGACTCATCGATTGCCTGAGAGTTATGTGATAGGGAAACAATATTCACCTTTGAATACCCAGGTTTACATGCGCACAATGATGCTTGCTTCGTTCTTGGTTTACAAGGAAGAATTACGCATAGATAAATTAATTCGTTCACTGTTTCATTCAAAAAAATATCTTCTGCCCTTTTCTTCATATTGCATGTAACTGTGCGTTGTGAGTAGAGACTGCGAAAGGATCTACTTTAAATACTCCTTTTTATTCCAGACTTCTGCCCTGTTAAGCTGCCATGAAGCGTGTGGTGTAAGTGTCATTGTAGGGGTGCCTCCGAACTCCCAAAGCCTCTCGATGAACCCCATGTTGCTGTTGCTGGGACGTACCTGGAAAGGAGCAATATTTGGTGGTATGTGCTTACAGCTAAGGATCAAACCCTGAGTCTGTTCGCGCATGTCAAGGTGGGTGTGGATGGGTGGGCATGTGTGTGTGGAGGCCGGGGAATATGTCATTACTTGGGTGCTCTCTGCCTTGCCCTTTGAGACAGGGTGTCACAATGGCCTGTGGCTCACTGGTTAGTCTAGTCTTGCCGGCTGAAATCTGCTAGTTTCCTTCTCCAGACCTGGAAGTACAAGCATTCCCACCACCAAATCAGCTGTTTGCTTGGTTGGTTGGTTGGTTGGTTGTTGTTCCATTTTATTTTGTTTTGTATTATATTCTGAAGATCAAACTCAAGTCTAAGAACTTTATTGACTGGGGCATCTCCTCAGCTTTAAGGATTAAATTCTTAAATTATTTCAGAATTCCTTTCCTTTTATAACAGAAATGGCCAGATTTTAGAAGGCAACATGGGTTAGAAACATGAAAATTACTGTCTTACCTGAGCAAGAACTAAGCAGAGAGCCCCAAGACAAGCTTCCCAGGACCTTTCTGGCTCCTTCTATTTGTGTCTTTGTGAGGCCCCAAAGTACCTCCCAGGACACAGGAAATCCAAGGCAGTAGTTTTTGCCTATACTCATTACCTAAATTGGACAGCTTCCTCACTTTGGGTATAAACATCTGCAGAATAATTTCTGTATGAAAGAACGAATCAGCTACCTTCATTAGCCAGGAATCCTGGGTTATCAGGGCGGCATACTATAAAAATGTTAATGCGATGCAGGACGGGTTGGGCCTCTGTGTCTGACATGCAATCCATAGACTATGGTGCCTGCCCCCTGGCTGGATCAGAGGGTGATACCGCTCTCCTTTCAGGCTTTAAAAGTAAAGATTCTGTCCCTAAACTCGTGAGTGATTTTATGGCGAAGAAGTTTCCACTGGAACCATTAATTACCCATGTTCTACCTTTTGAAAAAATAAATGAAGCATTTGACCTGCTTCGTGCTGGAAAGAGGTAAGCTTTGAGGTTATGTTTATAGTAGAGGAATTGGCTAGCAGGCAACGAAGGAGAAATGGGACAAGAACAAAGATGGAGGGCCTGGCTTCTGTCACCACTTCAGGCTCTGCACACAGGATGTATGACCTAGGGCAATTACAAACCCAAGCCTCAGTTTTCACAGTTTCCAAAATGGACAAAATATGATAACCTACCTTAGAGTGTTGCTGTATATAATGAAGTTTAAATGGGATAATACTGCCTTCACGCTTCTATAAAGTACATGGCAAATAACAAAAAGGAAATGCCGTTATTGCACTGTTATGTTTCTTACATGAGGCATGCAGGCTTTCAATATTATTTAAGAATACCAAACTAGAACCAAAATCTAAATGGCAGTGGTATTAGAATGTTATGTGAGTTTAGAGTTGGAGAGAATGCAAGAGAGATCAGAAAAAGGTGGATCATGCATTTATGGACTTGACCTTGGTGACAAGGGTGGACATGGGATACTTGGGAACGCAGATGGATTTTCACTGAGACTTTTAACACACGATTTACTCACTCACATGGGGACTGTGAATTAGGGAAAATGAAAACAATGTCTTATATTTTGTATTTCAGCATCCGTACCGTTCTGACGTTCTGAGATCATGTTGATACTTTCCCATGCACCAGTTTCTGACCTCTCCACCCCACCCCACCAGATCACAGCACCAGCCACGTCACAGCCTTACTTCTATTCTTTACAGACACAGTCAATAAAGTACTTGAATAATCTTTCCACAAGACGTTGAATTTTCTATCAGGCAGTTTTCAAGCACATGTTTATAAGAGCTATCACACTTCAGATGGGGTACTAGGTACCAATCCATCCTTATTTGACTGACTTGGAGCATCTTTCCTACTGCGGACACTGTCTCCTGTGACATCTTACATTCTTTTTTCTTTGGAATCCTCAGTTATGAAACTCAGTAGAGCACATAGCTCTTTCTACCCCAACACCCAGGATGACCTGCATGCTCAGTCACACCCCTCTCCACAGTCTGTACTTTCTTCATGAAATGTCTGAGTGTGGGGCAAAAACCACAGCTTGCCAAGGGAGAGGCCTGGGTTGGCAGCTGGAGAATCTCTGTCTTAGTAACCAAAAGGAAACATCACACATCTGCATTCTGCTTTTATGCTATTTTGTAAACAATGAATATGCAGTTGTTCCCTTAAAAAAAAAAACTGAGTCTGAAATAATGACTCAACACCTCCAGAAACAGTGGCATGGAGGGGGGGGTAGCCATGGGCATCAGGTTATGCTTGTGGTGTTTAGCAAGTCAATTGGAAGCTGTAGGATAGACAGCCAGGCTACAGTTCTGAGAACATCACTCCAGAGTTGAAGATGGAGCAAACTCACATTTAATAATCTCTTACTTCCACAGATCAGTCATTCTGTTACCTTCATGCTGCTATAACCATTAATGAGGATTCCCTTTAAATATTAAAGTAATAGCTTTATCCAGATACTTTAAACACTGCCAAATATCTAACAATATTCAAGAAGTATATCATTGCATAAAAAGAGAAAGTGATAAGTGAGATAAGTATAATAGTAAAATGGGGGAAGTTTAGCTAGGGTCAAATGCTCTTCTGAGAAGACATATGCACCCTTGTATGAACAAGTTTGTGCAATCTGGAGATCATGTGCGCCTGTACGGATAGCTATGTGGACTTGAGAAGCTGTTTGTGACCTGTGTGCACAGGTGTGCGGATCTGAGAAGATGTATGCATGTTCACCCGTGTGAACAGGTATGTGGGTCTGAGAAGCTGTCTGTGCAGCTGTATGAACAGGTACTTGGACTTGGCAGGCTCATTTCATTTACCTGGGACTCAGGGTCAGCAAACAGTCCCTGTGGCCCTGCTTTAGCTAGCAGGAGAACCCGGAGATTTCTCAATATCTCACAAGAGAAACCTTAGAGAGAAAGACTTGGTTTCTGCACCTCAGCCTGCTCCTTCAAGCATCCAGCATGGCGGTAACACGGTAACTTTAACTGGCAAAGCAGGTCAGACAGATCACCAGATAACTCACGTGTGGGGGTTGGAGGGCACACATGCACGTGTGTGCACGTGAAGTCAGAGGTCAGCATTGCGTAGCCTCACACACTGACACATGGACGCTGTCTCTGTCACTCCCACCCAGCCCTCACCCTCTAACTCCTCCCACGTTCTCTTCTCCCCCGGGCTCCTCTTTGATTATTGTTGCTACACACATACATGTTATTATCTTAGTCAGGGTTTCCGCTGTGATCAAACACCATTACCAAAAGCAGCTCGGTGAACCTACAGTTCCACTTCACCATCCATCACTGAGACAAGTCAGGGCAGGAGCTCAAACAGTGCAGGAACCTGGAAGCAGACTGAAGTGGAGACCATGAAGGAATGCGTCTTCCTGGCTTGCTCACCGTGACTTACTGAGTTGGCTTTCTACAGCACCCAGGACCACCAGCCTAGGTACAGCACCACCCACAATGGGCTGGACTTCCTACATCAATTGCTAATTAAGAAACTTTCCTACAGACTTGCCTGTAGGCCAGTCTTATGGAGGCATTTTCTCAGTCAAGAATCCCTCTTCCCAAATGACTCTAGCTTGTGTCTAGTTGAAACAAACCAGCCAGCACATGCATGTTTATGTGGGTGCGTGCACAGACACACAGACAGACACACACACACACACACACACACACACACACACACACACACACGGGGTGCAGGGATCTGTTTCCATCACCCCCGCCCCCATGAAACATTTACATTGGTGCTGGGAATCTGAACCCAAGTCCTCATCCTTGCAGAGGTAAGACTTTACCAACTGACCCATCTCCATGGCCTCTCACCAGCTAATTCTCCTCTAACTATGTTTAAAAACACTTCTCACACAGATACCAGCAACTAACAGATATCTAAATGTCTTAAGGTAATATAAAAACAGTTTTGAAACAAAGAGATTCTTAGTGAGTATAAATAATAAATGTTATATAGGTGATGCCACACTGCAGAGAAAATGGGAAGAAAATATTAAGAAATAACTTTGAAAATAAAGTTCTCCTTTTGAAACTTCCAAAAATTGGAATAGTATAAAACCAGAGGGAAGCAAAGCCTTCATCAACAGAAAGTGTGGCAGAAAGAAGCAACTAGAAGCAGAAACAATTCAGTTGGCAATGAACTTAATAAATTTAAATAAACATGGACTTTTCAAGTGGAATTGTCTAAACCAAATGCAGAACTAAGAATCAGAAAGATTTTGGTTTTTTTTAATTTTTTAATTTTTAATTTTTTAAATATTAGTTACAGTTTATTAACTTTGTATCTTGTTCCCTCATTCCCTCCCAATCCCACCTTCCCTCCCTCATCTCCTTCCTGCCCCTTTCCAAGTCTACTGATAGGGGAGGACCTCCTCCCCTTTCATCTGACCCTGGTTTATCAGGTATCTTCAGGACTGGCTGCAAAATCCTCCTCTGTAGCCTAGCAGGGCTGCTCCTCCCTGGGGGGAGGAGGGGAGGTCAAAGAGCCAGCCATTGGGTTCATGTCAGAAATAGTCCCTGTTCCTCTTACTAGGGTACCCACTTGTATACTGAGCTGCCATGGGCTACATCCAAGCAGGGGTTCTAGGTTATATCCATATATTGTCCCTGGTTGGAGAAACAGTCTCATAAAAGACCCCTGTGCCCAGATATATTTGGTCCTTGTGGAGCTCCTGTCCTCTCCAGGTCATACTAACTCCCCCTTCTTTCATATGATTCCCTAAACTCTGCTGAAAGTTTGGATATGAGTCTCAGTATCTGCTTTGGTACACTGCTAGGTAGAGTCTTTCAGAGGCCCTCTGTGGTATGCTCCTGTCCTATTACTTGTTTTCTCTTGCTTCCAATGTCCATCCGATTTGTCTTTCTAAGTGAGGATTGATCATCTTACCCTAGGTCCTCTTTCTTTATCTTCTTTATGTGTATAAATTTCAGTATGTTTATCCTATCTTATAGGTCTATATAAGTGAGTATATACCATGTGTGTCTTTCTTCTTCTGGGATACTTCACTCAGAATGATCTTTTCTAGATCCTGCCATTTGCCTGAAAATTTTATGATTTCCTTGTTTTTGATTGCTGAGTAGTATTCCATTGTGTAAAAGTACCACAATTTCTGTATCCATCCCTTTGTTGATGAACATCTGGGGTGTTTCCAGATTCTGGCTATTATAAATAAAGCTGCTACAAACATTTTGAGCAAAATGTCCTTGTTGTGTACTTGAGCATCTTTTAGATATATGCCTGGGAGTGCTATAGCTGGATCTTGAGGAAATGCTATTCCTAATTGTCTGATTTCTAAAGTGGTTGTACCAGTTTACATGCCACCAGCAATGGAGGAGGGTTCCCCTTTCTCCACAACCTCTCCAGCATGTGTTATCACTCGAGTTTTTTATTTTAGCCATTCTGATGAGTATAAGGTGAAATCTCAGGGTCATTTTGATTTGTATCTCCCTGATAGCTAAGGATGTTGAGCATCTCTTTAAGTGTTTCTCTACTATTCTATATTCTGCTACAGAGAATTCTCTGTTTAGATCCGTACCCCAAATTTTTAATTGGATTGCTTGATTTGTTGCTTTTTAACTTCCAGAAAGATTTTGTTACCAGGTTGACTGAAGTATCCTCTTTGTCATCCTTGTGGGAAAGAAATCTCTGATCTCGCTTGAAAATAGAGCACTCTGACTACATTTTTCTAACTAAAAATTGTTGGTTGAATCGTGTCTTTTAAAACCCTTTATGTGAATATTCAAAGTAGAGATAATTTCACATTTATGCGGAATATAGAACTCTCTGAATATTAGGCTTTCATAATCTTTTCCATTTTAAGTTGAATTAGAAAGTAGCATTGCTCCCTCAAATTCTTCTTCACCTTATCCCACGTGACAGCTGCACCTCCTCCGACCAGTCTCCTTTGCATCATTGAAAAGCTTCACTCTCTCTTTCCTCCCTGAAGATTTTTCTTACTATTTAAAAGTGGTCTTAAAGATGGGATGCGCATTGAACATATGACAGGAGTCTACTGAGCGCATTTGAAAGACTCTAACTAGCAGTGTTTTCAAAGCAAAGACTCATGACCAAACCTTTGGCAGAGTACAGGGAATCATAAGAAAGAAGGGGAGTTAGTCTGATGAGGAAAGGATAGGAGCTCCACAAGGCCCAAAGATATCTAGGCACAGGGTCTTTTCTGAGACTGACATGCAACCAAGGACCATGTATGAATGTAACCTAGAACCTCTGCTCAGATGTAGCCTGTGGTAGCTCAGTAACCAATTGGTTTCCCATAGTGAGGGGAACAAGGACTATTTCTAACAGGAACTCAATGACTGGCTCTTTGGCCTCCCCACCCCCCAAGGGAGGAGCAGTCCTGTTAGGCCACAGAGGAGAGCTTTGCAGCCAGTCCTGAAGATACCTGATAAAACAGGATCAGATGAATGGGGAGGAGGTCCCCCCATTAGTGGACTTGGCAAGGGGCACGGTGGAGATGAGGGAGGGAGGGAGGGAGGGAGGGAGGGAGGGAGGGAGGGAGTGAGAGGGAATGAGGGATTGGGACACGGCTGGGATACAGAGTTAATTAAATGTAACTGATAAGAAAAAAAAATTAAAAAAAATTATATCATCAAAAAAAAAAGAAAACAAAATAAAAATAAAAGTGGTCTTCAGTCCTCACTCAGGAAGACAAACGGGATGGACATTAGAAGAAGGAGAAAACAGGAAACAGGACAGGA